TAAACGTCACTTTACCCAGTCAAGTAAACCGAGAGCCCCATGCTACTCTCTGCGCCCACCCCGATCCCCCAGTGAGAACCACTAGGCAGAAACGTCAAAGAGTAGGGCATAAACGTTTGGGAAAACCGCATGGACATGATGACAACTGCCAAACATGTGCTCTCACTGTCACTAAAAGTGATGCTGCCTTTGAGCGCAACAGTGCAACAGATGGATGCACTGCCGATGTGACAAAGAAGTGCTACATCAGTACTATAGCTTTATGACGCGTCACCCGTGCACGTGGTTTTGGTACATTTGCCCACAGTGCCGTCTGAGACCGCACCTAGCTTCAGGCTTACTCAGAGTAACCGATAAATCTCCAGTAATCAGAAAGCAGGTATCCGTCCAAACCACTGTCACAGAGGATATCCGCTCTCCAGATGATTTTGGCAATGGCCTACTGAAGGACACAAACCTGAGAGGTTCTAAGCCGAACAAAACACTGCCTACACCAACGACAACTGCATCCACCTCAAGCCATGGAGCCACACCAGAAACAGCAACCAGTGGACAACATAGAGAATGGGTCAGGGTGGAAAAAAACTCGAAGCACCCGTGAAAAGCACCTATAGGATTGAATAAAATTGGCATCACTGACCGACCTAGCTCTGTCATTCTGTTTAACGTTCCCGTCTGTGATGATAGCCTTCTGGAACATAAGGACAAGTTTGACAGGCAGCAGTGGGACTCCCTCTGTGCCACGCTAGGTCTGGGCGTTCTCGAGGCAAAACTGTGTCGACATACAAAGGCACCCACTCACCAGCAGGGAAGCCTCCGCCGATGAGAGTGACTCTAGTCTCAACTAGAGACGCTGAAAAGTTCCTCCTACTATCACACACCCTGGTCATCAACAGATCGTCCAACATTAGAGCCAGACCTGACCGATCATGGGTGTCAAGAAAGACATCTCGAGAAGCAGCTGGTCCACTAAAACCCATAACCATGGTCGTACATGGAATACCTGAAATGGTGACCGGTACCCAGGTGAGAAGTACACACACGACGTCAAACAATAGGAGTGGTTATCGGCTCGGATGGAGCTGAGCGGGGTTGCAGCTGCGGGACTACCACGCCCCCTGCATCTGATAACCATGACCTCACCTAGACTAATGGCTGGCAACTTCGTATCCCCAGAAGTACTCACCAGAGTGCTGGAGACGTGGTACAAAGTTAAGAGCACCATAAGCGGTAACGTTCGCTGCTGTGAAAGCAGACCGAGAACACTGCGGCAACAACAGACAGCAGTTACGCCCTGTGCTCAGGCCACCGTAACCCTAAACCGAAATGTTGAGAGTCAGACCAGAAACCTCCACTCAACACCGAATGCACCAGTCGACGAGGAAAAAAACTTAACTGGGCCAGTTCCACTGGAACTGGCCAGTCAGTAGAAACCCCCACATCCAAACCAGTGTGGCTAGTTAACTCAGAGACGTCGCACGTTACGAGAAACACTCCAAGTGTCTCACCAACGTGAAGGACTCCGAAGTAAAATGCAGAGCTCCGATCCCTCTGTCTCGACCTCCCGAAATCATGATCTGACAAAACGTGGTTGTCACCAGACATAATTGACACCGAAGTTAACATGGATGATATGATTCTGTTCAGGAGAGACAGAGAACATAGACACAGAGGTGGGGGTTACAATACATGTGAACAAGTGGTTCAGAAGTGAACAAACCACTGACACAGCAGTGACAGAGCTCCCAGACTCTATCTGGTGCCACTTCATGGTCAAACACACCAAATTCCCAGTTGGAACACAACCAAAAACTACTCCAAGCAATATTCACGGTGTCAACTATAGGGTACGACCAGGTTTTAATAGCTGGCGACTTCAGCGCTCCAACCCTCAGCCTAGAGCAAGGCGGCACTATCCCGAGCCGGAAGTTCGACTGTAACCTGCTAAACACCATCCAAATGGCCGGACTAAGGAAAAAATCAGCGATAACATCCTCTTCTGGTTGAAAACGTTCAGGTACAAACCCCTCTTGGAGGTAGCGATCACGCTACGGTAATGTTCGACCTGGTAATTAGTGAAGAGCTATCATGGGAGGGACCTCGCCCTTACCTATGTTACAACAAGGCAAATTACGAAGGTATGAACAAGGGCCTTTCAACAGCTTCGTGGCCAGTGGATTGGTGTTCCTTATCGATCGACCAGCACTGGGAACTGGTAAAAGATACCGTTAAGGCGGCCGCCTCACAAAACGTCCCTTTGGCGGTAACAACAACCAGAAGCGAACGTCATGGCTGAAACGGGGCACTGAGCGCCTTCTAAAAGCCAAGGGAAGGGCATGGCACACGTGGAGACTCTCCAGAGAACAGGACGACCATGACGCATACATGACTCTGCGGAATCGAAGCAACATAAGGGTGCTGGGAGACAGGAGGTCGTTCCAGCCCAACCTCGCCGAAAGGCTTGAGGTAAACCCTAAAAACCTTTACCGATTCATGGCAAAAAGAAAATCGACAGGCCAAGGAACTTGTGTCATAAAAGGTCCGAACGGAGAAACCTCTCTGGACAGGAGATTGCTGAAATGCTGAGCACCACATTTGAACACAGCCAACATTCCATCAAGAAAGTGCGCATACCAATTGCACGAACAGCCCCAACGTTACCCGATGCTACTGAGTTACACGAAATACAGATAACTCGCGCTGTTGTTCTCGACAAGCTTTTAAAGTTAAGCGCGGAAAATCCCCAGGGTGCGACGACATTCGCCCATCTGTGTTGAAAGAATGTGCAAGTACCCTAAGGGCCCACTCTGCAACCTCTTCCAACACTCCTTGGATGAGCGAAAGCTTCCGCGAGAGTGGAAACGGGCTATCCTTTCTCCCATCTTCAAAGGAGGAGACAGACAGAATCCCAACTGTTATAGACCCATAGCACTTCTACCAGTACTGTCAAAAGTAATGGAAAGTGTGATGGACGACCGTATCAGAGAATATCTGGACACCAAGCGGGCACTCAGTGACGCTCAACATGGCTTCCGGAAGGGTAGGTCCTGTGCCTCCAACCTCCTGACGGCCCATGATCACTGGACAGCATGCTGGGATCTCAAGGTCCCGGTCCACGTAATTTTTCTGGACTTCGCCAAAGCCTTTGACACCGTCTCACACCATATCCTAATACATAAGTAGCTGGGTTAGGTATTCGCAGCCAGGTGCTATCGTGGCTGCAGAACTACTTAGACAACAGGGAGTTCTGCACGAAAGTCAACAGGGTCTACTCAACTTGGAGAACATCCTCATCCGGTGTCTCACAAGGAGCAATCTTGGGCCCACTGTTGTTCCTACTGTTCGTAAGTGACTTGCCGCAACATATCAACTCCCCGATTCTCCTATACGCTGATGATGTCAAGTTATGGAGGGCAATAACTTGCGAGGCGGAATCTATGGCATTACAGAAGGACCTCAGAACACTAGAGAAATGGGGAACTAATAACAAACTGGCATTTAATCTGGATAAGTGCCGGTCCATGTTCTTCCGCACTCCTGATTCCCAGAAAACATCCTACTATCTCTGTGGTTCACGTCTATCCCATACCACAGTAGAAAAAGACCTGGGTCTAACGGTGACGGAGAAACTGGACACCAGTTCCAATTACCCAGGTGATGTCTCAAAAGCATATGGGGTACTACACTTTGTGCGTAGACAACTGGGTGCCCTCGCCCCAGAACTCTTTCTGAAGCTCTACAAGGCTTACATAGGCCCCACTTAGAGGTCCATAACGTCTTCGCTCCACACAGCTGAAAAGAGGCGCGAACTTACTGGAGAAAGTCCAGAGGCGAACCACAAAAGCGGTTGTTGGAATGCAACGAAAACCACATGAGGATAGACTCAAAGACCTAGGTCTATACTCCTTAGCTCTCGAAGGATACGTGGCGACTTAATAATGGCTTACAAAGTAATGAGTAACCCAAGTCACCCAAACATAGGAGTCCTACCGAGTGGCCACTACGTAGATCCTCGAGGAAACCCCAATAGAATAGCACACCAGAGGTCAAAAACGCATGTGCGTTCAGAGTTCTTCTCCCTCTGAGTCTGTGGGTACTGGAACGCACCACCAGCAGAGGTGGTCTCCACCCCAACTGTTGAAAGCTTCAAGAAGAGGCTAAACAGTCATGCAGAGACTCACGGTTTACACACGCATAGCTGGAACATGAAGTGATTCAAGCCACCCCAACCAGTTTTCTTTCTATTGTAACCATTTAAGCCCTTTTCACCCCTTCCACTTGCCATAAGTTAGCCTCACTTACCTAAGTTCTTCATAGCTTTGCACCCCTACTCACCTTACTTGGGTGTAAGTAATTACTCCATTAGTTCACCTTTCCTCTCTTCTTTTACTCACACAAACACTTTCTAGGTTTCTCTTCAATATCTCCAACCGTCTCTAGCGACCAGTCCTAACAACTGTCTGGCAACTCGACATCTGAGGAAGCCAACTGCACCACAGTCCAAGGCAAACAAACCAACGCTTAACTTCCTGTTCCGTAAATCAGAGCTATAGAAGACGAGTGGCTGAACCTACTGCATCGGGATCCGCTGAAGATCTGGAGCCGTTCCGCAAGACCAAGAAGCGAGCGCGAAGAAATCAACTGGTTTACACAAGCTTGTTAAAAAGATATTGGATATTGGAAGTGACATCATTTTTTTTGCTTCACATTGTGACTAGAAGGCTTCATTGATGCAGTAAATGCATTTTGGATTTTCTCCTGAAGTCACTCGTTCTGGTTCATTTTAAGTTTAAATCACCTACTTGAAATGGCAATTTGACCTTATCTCAAAATGTGCGATTTCAAAAGCAGTCATTATTTTCGCAAGTTCCTAGAGTTCATGATGGTTTTATGAATATCGATATGCATTTTCGGCTCCATGTCACTGGGCCTCGCAAGTTGAATGATTTAAATTACTTGATAACGGCTTCGAAACTTCAAATATTGTCATCCAAATTGTGATGGATAAGTTTCCTCTTCCAACCGTTAAGGGACAGACATTTGAGTTGGGACCGAGATTTGATGATATTCAGTATGTTGGAGAGGGTGCATACGGGATTGTCGTGTATGTTGCAATACTGAAAATATTATGATTAAGGTCGGCGTTCGATCGACATCGCAATGAAAAAGTAGCTATTAAGAAGGTTTCTCCTTTTGAACATCAAACCTACTGCCAGAGAACGTATAGAGAGATCTGGATACTTAGTAGAATGGACCACGAAAATGTCAGTTTACATAAAGACCATTTATACCAGTAAAATTTGTAGATAGTTAAGATCCACGATCTCATTACGCCCAGCACGTTTGAAGAAATGAAAGACGTGTAAGTTTTGTACGTTCGTTCATTCCTCATACATTATTCAGGTATATTGTAGAATGTTTCATGGAAACTGATCTCTGCCGACTGTTGAAGACCCAGAAACTTAGCAATGACCATATCTGTTACTTCCTTTATCAAATGCTGAGAGGTGGCTTCGAATTTAACCCTTTAAGTTCAGTTTTTAAGGCCTCAAGTACATACATTCTGCGAATGTCCTGCACAGGGATCTCAAACCATGTAATATTTTGCTGAATGCAGCGTGTGATCTGAGGGTAAGTTAGCTACTCCGATGCATTTACAATATTTCCTTCGCGCTTTCATGCTACAATATTCCACACACTTAATCTTAATCACACATACTCCATTATTTGTCTAGTTTTCCGTGCTTGAGATGTACAAGGACAATATGATATAGTAAATCCCTTCCCATCGTCGTACTTAAGAAGGGAAAGAAACGTTTTTAGGTGCATCTTACAGGCATACCTATGAGATACTTAAGTATACTTAGAAAATGTATTAAAGGTTAACTTTCTTCTAATCAAACAAGGCTACGGACTTCTGTTTCATGACCAAATCTCCATACGATTCGTTTTAAACTCTTTTACATCATGGTTATTTGACGTTTTGAGCTTATTTCATGGTCATCCTCTTCAGTGTGACGAATAAGAATACACTTTTAAAAGTACTATTTGAATGCACTTATGCTTTCGCTTCGAAGGAAACTACACAAGACACTTGTTAGACATGTAGGTTCACAGACACATCAGGATAGTTACGATTATTCGGGACTTAAGAGAACACAGTAATTTGATCACTGTTGCTTCTTTATTTATTAGGATAGTACGATATCTTTTATGAGAGATCTTATCATGGTTTTCTATGGAAATCAAAATATTCAGGTTGGATATGATTAACTGCTTTACTTTCTTTGTCACCGATTCGTATATTAGGTTCAGATTTTACGGCAGTGGGGTTACTCGTTGCTTTATTGCGACTGTTTCGGAAAATTCGAACGTCTATGCTTTAGGTTAATCTAATCTGATGTTAAACCATTTTTCTAATATGAGCAGTTTTGCTTTAGTTGTTTGGACTGACTGAAGTGTTTATAAGAATAAAATTGTTTTGGCTCATGTTTTACTTTCTATTTGGCAGAAGCAGGCTGTTTTTTAAATTAGCAGGATTATCCACTCTTGAGATATACTACTCATATCTTTGCCTCTTACAAATTTCTGGAAGAGATGTAGGGATATTCAAGGATTTTTCCTTTTTTGTGTGTAATATTTGGTGGTTGTAGTTGAACTAAAGGAATTCAGATAACCATTTGTCATCATGTGTTTATTTCAAACATGATAGACCCACCTACGTGTTTCACAAATTTCATACATTTCTGTGATCTGCTACTCATACATGTCATCATTCTTTTCTAAAGTACATGAGCCAAATACTGTGATAAGCGACTTTTGTTTGAATAAATATCCTTTTTGGTGTCACATTTTCCAAGGCTGCCTCTGAAAGCATTCTAGCGATCATGATCCAGAAAAGTCATGCACACTGAGTTTCTAATGCTTTGGCTTAGCACACTGAGTTAGTCAATCCTTTTGTTTTCCTTGTTACGGACTGATTGACTTGCTTTGTTCGAACACTGTATATACTTTTCTCCTAATAACTGACTTCTTCTGTCTTAATCTTTCGAGGTATGGTTTATCAGCTGTAGATTCTGTTTTCGACACAGCTGGGTGACTGTGCTCCACTTTTCTGGTAAAAATGACGCGACTCTTATTAATTTGTTATCTTTCTAAGTAGTATCCACCATTGGTTTTCTATTTCAGCTTGGTCTGTCTCGTTGCCACAGTATGGGCTGTATAGTTTGGGTATTATGACTCCTTGTAGTTTCATATGCGTATCTGCATGAGATCTTTGACATGGAAGTTTTTTTCATTTGTATGTCCTTGATTACATTATCTTATTTATCCTCACCCAACCGCTATTTCTTGTGAATTCAGTCTCTGTTTATTCATTCATAGACACTGAATCTACGTTCGTTTTGCTCAGTAATGTTTAAATACATCTTCCAGACTTCTTCTTAAGCTGCCTAGTTGATTCTTACTTCTGTTCGACGTCTGTAGAAGACTTGAGCAGTAAGAAGAGAACTGTCTTTAAATATCATGAATTGAACATTTAATTAATTATATTTTACATCTTACCCCCATTATAAGGCATAACGATCAAAATTGAGCTGCAAACATTGTTTGTAGGCTACCGATACAGAGCTTTAAACATCAGCCCTTCAAGGAGGATAGCCTTGGCATGAAAAGCTTACGGGAACAGCTAGTGTGTACACTATGATTCAGTGTTGGTCCAAGTCTTTGAGGAACTATTGGTTCTCTTATAATTTCAGATAGATGAGATATCTAGAAGGATGAAACACGGCTAAAACAGGGTTTTTTTGTTTACTTCCTTCACCAAACCAACTTCATATATACATTACTTTTCAGAAACCTTGCATCTAGATGAACCATATGTACTTTTTCAGCGACTGTTTTACAGTATTCTTAGATGACACACAAAACAGATTATTTCAACTATTACTAAGTTAAACCATTAGCTTTATCTTGACCTGAATAAATCTAGTATACCTTGAAGGAAACATCATTCTCTCAAAACTTTGTGGTTCTAGTTTATTTATTTATGTAGCCTTGAGAGACATGGGAGTAAGAAACCTTGTGCACATGCTTCAGTTTGTTTTGATATGAATATATTTAACAGTAATCTTTTACATTACTATCAACTTGAACTATGGTTTTGCACGAAGTTAATCCCATTTAAACTAGTTCACTGATTAATTCTATGCAGGTAAATTATTGAAGTTTTAACGATGTGAATTCATCCGGTTATGAACTTTTAGATTGTTGAGGTCTTAGTTATGACTAAATATATAACCAGAAGACGCTTTTGCAATTCGGAATCCGGAAAAGGCTTAAAATCATTCAAGTTTTTCTTGCGCGTCCTTGACGACAATTTCGGGATACTTATGAGGGCTACTGCATTTGGAACATGAAAAATGACATTTTGCTTCAATTGTGATTAACTATGTATTACCCCTTACTATTTCGAAAATATCTACTACTCTAGGATGTAGTCTTTACCATTCTTGTGATTTCATCTCTTGTCTTGCTAGGATGATTGGTTTATTTAGTTGATCTGTGAGGAATGAACTACTTGGGTAAGGTCCAAGTGATCAGAATGTTTCAAAATTAAGTTAGCTGGCGGTACATTATAATCATAAGCGGTTAACATAGGTCTTCATTTGAGATTTGGTTATTTCTGCAGTAAAGTTGACTATCCATTTATAGACAAACCATTACGTTCATTGAGTAATTAATCAACTAGATGATGAGCATGGTGTGTATTGACACATATTACGGAGAAATAGGTTTTGGATGAGGTTAGTCATTAATTTACAACTGAGCATCTTGCTTATATTCATAGTTGAAGGCTTTAGGCTTTATCTTATATGTGCTCCACAGGTCAGTAGAGTGTTTTGTAGCCGTAGAGGAAGAGTAACAGTCTCTTATCATTACTGTAATATCTCTTTCTCACCAGCTGATGTAAACTCATGACGAAACCCATCATCAAATCAGTCAAATTTTATTTTCGTCCTACAATGTTAAGATTATTGACTCATTTGAATTCTCCACAGCCTCCCACCTTATTTCTAGGAAGTAGAGTTGTTTTCTATTTCATAGCTCTGAAAGACAGATCATCTGTTGGCAGTTTTTGCAATGAAATGAAATCATTATGGGAATCACTGGCAATAGGCCGCTTCATTTGTATGCCGTCCTTTGTAATGATGGTTGCTTTTGAGACTTTAGTATATTCGTCGTAGAATATCTTGGTTTTGTGACTAAAAAGTTATAACACTTCTGTCTGCTTTTACGGATTCAGATTTGCTGTTTGAGGACAGAAGGCTGTAGGCCTATATTAATCCTTCCCAGTGGATTTCTGTGCTTGTCTAATCATCTTTTGAATGAACCACTTGATGATGCGGACACCACTTCATCTGGAAGTCAGTTCAGGAATTGATTACTCGAAGTGAGAACCATTACTCTGTCGAGACGTCGTTCGAGTTTGCTTGTGTTTTCTTCTGCTATGTCCCTAAGGTGTTTCGAGTTAGTGGGAAGGAAAAAAAAGATAGATCAGGTTCAAAGCTATTTCTTAGTATCCTGTATAGTATGATTAGATCTCCTCTCTGTCGGTAACAGGATAAAGAGAAGAGGTTCAGCTCCTCAAGTCGATCTTCATTGGTCAAGGCAGCCATCGCAGACAACATACGAGTGACTGTCCTTTGAACTCTTTCTAGAGGTCTCAATCACCTTTCAGATAAGGATTTGCGGTTGTGTACAGCTTCCTAGTTCAAACCTATGGATGTGTGTAAGATGGTGGATATATCACCACTTATTTTTGTAAATGTTCTGCACAATGCCGATAGTGTCCTAAAACTTCGGCTGCAACCAATCGACAGTGTGCTGTGGTTTTCAAATCATAACTTACTATGACTTCTAGGTAATTTTGGGTTACTACTGCTGGTAGACGAGTTCCACTAATCTCGTAGGTGTTCTCGTGTGCATACTCACACACTTACCTGAGTTGATAGGCATCAGCCACTTAACTGACCACATAAACAAGCTGTTTAGGTCTGCCTGAAGCACACGTATACCCTCGACATCTCCAATTTTCTGCCAGGTTTTTACTAAGACTAGTTGAGTTATCATATAAACACTTCTCAGCCTAAGTAGCTTAGGAGGTTTGATAAATGGTTGCAAATTTTTAAACGATTTAACGGAAACCGGGTTTAATCACTGCTATCTTTTAACAGAAGACTTAAGGCATTATGAACCATAGATTTAGATCAATTCTAGGAGAAATAAGGCTGGAGTTTCTCTTCTATCTCAGTTTGCCCTAAACTGTATCTGCAGACCTCGTTGTCTACACATACCTAAAGATGACCAAGTGAACCTTATAGAGAAAAGCTTTAACAGTGAGCTACATTACTTCATACCTTTATATGCTTTATCAATCGCCAACTTCCATGCAAAAAACGTAAGTCAGTCTTAAGCAGAAAGGACAGAGATTTTCAAAAATTTGAAATACCACCACTTGATGTCTATCTCATTGTCAAGAAACATGGTCATTGTGGCACCTAACAGTTCTGTATTTATCTTTCGGGAGTAATGTCGTTCTTATCACTGACAGTTTTGCTGAAAACTACTAC